AGTTTGAATTTATCCGTCACTAAATGGGATCAACTCTCTAGCTTCCCCAGCGGAGTCGCCATCTGTCGCCGCCGTCCGTTCCGACGTCCCGGGGACGTCTCGAACGTTCTGCGAGCGGTCGCGAAAAGATGACTGAGACTCGCGTTTTTTGTTAAAATTGTGTTCATTGCTTCCGAGGTGCTCAACACTGAACTATCCTCTAATAGAAGCAAGGTTTTCGAAAAGGGTTCTTTTGGAGTCGCCACCAATGTTTTGACCATAAACATTGGAAAAGGAGAAAAAGACATTGATTTTAATAAAAACCAACTTGACCATTATAACCAGAGTCGGGTAAGGGAGTTAGTTACGTGTGGGGAAGGTATTAGCACCCCACAACGCCCCTTTCGGGTTCCCTATGACGGATTAATTCATTTAAGTCCAGATTATGAGAAATTACGCATTTACCCTTATTTTATTTATTTAATAAATATGGCTATCTACATGATTTATCTACATTGCATACGAAGTAAATAAAGCGAGTAAAGAAGAAGAGAATTGAGAAAAAACCTCCATAGCAAGCTTTATATTATAAGTCTTTTACAAAGAGGACGCGTTTCGGCAGTCCTTCGCTCTACAACAACTCTCCTCTCGATTACGGACTCGACTCGACTAAAATTTCTAGAAGAATCGAATCTTGGAATACAAATTCCTTAACCGATTGTTACCTATTAAAGGCAATCGGAAAGATCATTCGAGAGAGGGAGAGAAGAAGACAAGTCCAGGAATTCTCCGGTGTCCGAGGTGTGTGAAATGAGACAAATGAGGCTCCTATTTATAGCATTTTTCACTGCACTGGAACTTTGGGACGGCCGTCCAGGTTGGGACGGCCGTCCCAAACGCGTTTTCACGTTGTGCCAATCCGGGACGGCCGGTCCGGGTTGGGACGGCCGTCCCAAATGCAATTTAACGAAGGCTGAGACCCCACAGGGTTTGGGACGGCCGTCCCACATTCGGGACGCGCGTCCCAACCCCGGGATGGTGGTCTCGGCCTGTTTTGTCCAGTCTTCGCGTTCTGGGACCCCGGGAAGCTTTCCTTTCCTTTTTTGGACATAGATTGATGCCAATGTGTGTCCATTGAAGCTTTATCTTCATATAGGAAGTCTTCTTGGCCTTCATTAAGATGTCGGGCGAGCTTTGTCTTTGTGTAGGAAGTCTCTTTTGGCCTTTATTGTGTGAATGAGTGAACTCCGTCTTTTGTTGTGGGAGGTCCTTCTCATTTTGGGAAGCCGGATGAACTCCATCTTCGGGCGAAGTTCCTCTAGCTTTTATTTTGAGAGGCCGGGCAAAATTAGGGGTCTACAAGCCCACATTATGCTTACTTCATACTCGAGAGCTTTTATATACACTAAAAGTGCTCTAAACTCATATCAAGAAGAACTCATATCTAAAAATATGTTTAGTTTTTTTTTAGTTTACGAAGTGTTTTTACATCTTCTCTAGAAATCATGTGTTACTCAAGTAAAAATATTTTGCATGAGTAAAACTTATGCAAGTATCAAACGTCTACATCCTTCATCAATTAGTCCCCAAATCAAATCAATCACCCAGCCTTGCATAAATCTAGTGACCCAATTACTACAACACATTCAGACTATCAATCCTAATATATTAGGGCATCAAGTTAATAGCTTTCCTAACCACAATTTAACCCCTTTAAGATATAAATGTTTCTAATTCCTCATAGCATATAATATCTCCAAAAGTATTTGCAAAAAGTCCCAAATCAACAAATTAAGTATACCCTCAAGATCCCAGACTATCCAAAAGTCATATGTACCTAAAATTGGCCACATGCAAGTAGTTCTACTGTACATGCAATGCCTAAACCCCACATGCAACCCACCCTAGAAAAGAGGTGAGGAGAAATTTACTCCAAATAAAACTCTTCCATTCCTCACCAAGAAAACTATAATCGATGTTGTTCTAATTGATATTGGTGAAATAGTTTACAAGTTGATGATGTGTATTATGAATTGTAATTAATTTTTTTTCCAACTGATTCTGTGGTGAAGTAGTAAAATGTGACTTTTGACCATTATGGAGTTATGCATGATGAATATCTTTCTAATTTGGAAGTTTTAGTTAAATTTTAGATTGGGTTAATGTTTTTGATGAATAAGTGTTTTTGTCAAGTTATTATTCCTTTTATAGTATTCTCATAATTTATTCAAGTGATTGTTGGTTGTTTAAGCGAAAAATGAGGTCGCAAATAAGGACTCAATTCTAGTAGTATTTTGCTCAAACAAATTATCTCTAGTGGAGAGGAAAGTTATACGACTTAATTTTCTTAAGATTGTTAAAATGGACAACCTGACCTAACCTACTCCAGACTTATGAGCCAAATAAAAAATAATTGTAGTCCTACCTAACTTATATTTTAAAACATGCTATAATTTTTTTTACTGTTTAATTCTATATTAGATCAACATACCCATTTTTTCCTAATTAAATTTTTAAAAATATATTTATATATAATTAATCTAAAAAATAATTTTAAATAAAAACATTAAAAAATACATTTATAAGATTTAACATATATTGACAAAATTAATTTTTTATTTTTTATATAATAATTTGATATGTAAACTATAAGTGAAGATTCATAAAATAGTAATTTATCTTAATTATTATATTACAAGAAAATAAATAATAAAAATGTAAGGTATGTCTTAATTTTTACTCATGATTATCTTCGTAAATTAATTTACAATACATATTTTAATAGAATAATATTTATTTGATTTTTTTAGAAAATAACTATTATAAAATAATTATTTTATAAGAAGAATGGACCCATAATAAGTAAGTGATAATACATCTATGAGACATAAAAAAAAATATATTAAATATGTCAAAAAGTATGTGATAATATATCTGACAAATATAAAATGCCTTAATAACCATCATTGTTTTTGTCTGGTGAAGTATTTGATGTATGTGTTATAGGCTTCATGGGTCATTTTTCTCCTATTTTTTGTTTTAATTATATATTGTTTGTTATTGATTATATTTCTAAAGGGGTGGAAACGAAAGTCACCAAGACTAATGATACTAAAGCTATTCTAGATTTTTTATATCTAATTTATTTTGTAAGTTTGGGATTTGAACAGCTGATATTAGCGAACAAGGAACTAATTTTTTTAATAAATCCTTTACTTCTTTATTTATGCATAAAATATTTATAGTTTATCATTAAAAAACAATAGTCTAGCTAAAATATCTAATAATGGCAAAAAGAAAAATTTACTTGAGTGATAAATTAAATGATGTTCTTTGAGCTCATATCTTTAGGGGTGTCTTCTTTTAAGATTATTTTTGGTTTAGGGTTTATCATCTACTTATTCAAATAAAGCATAAAGTGTATTAAACTATTAAAGTTTGTAATTTAGGCATATATTATTGCAATTAAGATGTGAAGTTTACGAGAATTCTACAATTTATGTAGAGACAACAAAAAGATTTCATGATAAAAATATTTCTAGAAAAGGATTTTTGGTTGGATAAAAAGTTGCGTTATATAATTATTATAAATTAAAATTTAATATTGGTAAATTAAGATTAAAATGGATTGGTTGCTTATAGTATTTTATGATGGAGATGTTGAAATTAAAATAGAATTTATAGGTAAATCACTCAAAGGTCATATATTAAAATATTTTCATAAAATTTTAATTCCTATTGAAATTATTGAATTATTGTGATATGTTGTTTAATATTATCTTATAATTTTGTCTTCTTTTTTTTTTTTATTGTGAGGATAATGCAAAATTCAAGTGTGAAGTTATTAGAGTGACTCTTATGTTTTTTATTTTAAATTCTTATAACATATTGCCAATGAATTTAGTTGGTATTGATGTTTAATTGTTTGGATTAATATCATCATCTTTAGAATAACTTATATGATGTATTTATTTCTTTACATAAACCATGACCAAGTTAAATTATAATAAGTAATGTGAGTTTTGAGTCCATCTTTCTTTTATTTAAAAGTTGATTCATAATTTCCTCTCTTTTATTCTTAACTCTTAACTCTTTAAAGTTCCGAGCCCTTCTCTTTTATTTTCTTTGATAAATGAAAAAGATTTAAAATCTTGATTGAAGTATTCCATTCAACAGAAATTGTACTCAATTACAAAGTGTCAAGTGAATTAATTCATTGAAAAAAGTTATACCGAATTATAAGAAGTGGTAGACTAGAAATTCTTTATATTCAACAAAATTCTGACATTTATATATTATTATTTACGACGTGTAATTATATATGTTGTTATGTTAATAGCTCATATAACCTTGAAGTTATTTTTAAAAAATTGAATCTTTATAGTTTCCCGTTTATTATGTTAATAACTTGTGATAATAACAAGATTTAATGATATAAATAATATATCACAAGCACTTTTGAATATTTTTTTAATGAAAATAATAGGTCAATCCTATGAGGATTTTGAAATAGGTTATTGTATTTAACGCTTATAATTCTAAATTTAATTGAAGTCCATCTCATTATACAACAATTTTGATATACAAAATATACTGTAATTTATGAAAATAATTGAGAAATATCGGGGTAATGTTTAAAAATAACTTTGAACGTTAGAGTAAGAATATGCAAACAATATGAAAGGTATATAAAATATTGTAAAGGAGTAATAATTAATAATTTAGCAATGATTTGGAGGTGGAAAGTGGAGAGAAACATAGAACTTGTGTTTGGTACTTGATATACATACATTATTTATTTAAACATGGATCGATGTTGTTGGGAACACAAGAGAGAAAGTGCGAAATAAGAAAGGTACACTAAATTTGAAAGTTCCCTCTCCATCTCGTCCACTTCTTTAAGTTGGCTTTCACATACCACAAACCAAACCATACGAAACCAATCTTTATGACTAGCTATTATTATTATTATCTAAAGAAGAAGGTGCAGGAGACAAGGACAACTTGGTACTTTGGGAAGCTCAATTGGTAGAGTGGGTAGGTTTAGTACAAGTGTTGCTGGGTGTGGCTGCATGTCTCGTCTGAAGAGTCACCAAAGAGTAATAAGCTCCACATGGTCCTTTGGCCAACAAGGAGGAGTGGGTTCCAGTCTCCACCACCCTCCCCTTTTCTAACACAGCAATAGCATCACAATTGTGAATGGTGCTCAACCTGTGTGCCACCACCACGCTGGTCCTCCCTATCATTACCCTCATCAACGTATCTTGCACCACCTTCTCTGATTGACAATCCAATGCACTTGTGGCCTCGTCCAACAGCAACACCTTAGGGTTTTTCAATATGGCCCTCGCTATTGCTATCCTCTGCTTTTGACCCCCTGAAAGTTGTACCCCCTTTTCCCCACACCATGTCTCGTACCCCTCCTTCAGACCCGCTATGAAATCATGAGCATTCGCTGCTCGTGCTGCCTCTATAATCTCACTCTCATCAACCTTCCCACCTCTTCCATATGCAATGTTCTCTCTTATGGTCCCACCAAACAGCGTTGGTTCCTGGCTCACAAGTGCTATGTGCTTCCTTAGTGACTTTAGGTTATACCATTTTATGTCCATTCCATCTATTGTCACCATCCCTTTAAGTGGATCGTAAAATCTCTCTATTAGCCCTATGATCGTTGATTTCCCAGACCCGCTTTGCCCCACCAACGCCGTTGATTTCCCTGCCTCCATTTTCATACAGAACCCTTGGAAGATACCCACATTAGGCCTCGTAGGGTACGCAAAATGCACGTCATGAAACTCTATTTCACCAACCAACTTCTCTGCCTTGTACCCATTTGGGTCATCACCCTCTATTTTTGTACACCTATCTATGATGCCAAAAATAGACGCCACAACATCACCACCTCTAGCAAGATCCGTCGTCATGCTTCCCGCATCAGCAATTATCCTCCCCGTGCTCACCAAAACCATGAAGCTCTCAAAGAAAGTTTTAGTTGTGATGTGCCCGTACGAGATTAGCTTGCCACCGTACCAAAAGTCTAGGGCCCAAACGCAAGATGCAATGCCTTGGGAGAATCCAAGCCCTATGCCAGCAAACCATGACTGCCGAATGTTCTCTCGGCTTGGTCCCTGTTGGGCCGCTGCAAGCATTTTCAGAATCCTGTCTTGAGAAGAAAATGCTGTGACGGTTCGGAGATTGGAAACCGCTTCTGATGCTAGTTTGCTGCTTTGTTGCTGGGCCTTCACCGACTTGTTGGACATGCTCTTGAGAAGGACGCGCCTTGTGTAAAAGCAGGCTATGATTATAGGTTGTACAGCTATCATAACAATGGAAAGCCTCCACGAAATTATGAGACCCATGGTGTAGGCTGTTATCACCGCAGAAAATGTTTGTACCAGCAATGCCATTCTGTCTCCCACTAGAGACCTCACCTGAATCAACACCACAACACAACACAAACCAAACATCAAACATCAGCACACAGTTATCACCGATCAAATCACAGTAACCACTACGCAGATCTTGTAGCTGCCAAAGTAGCAACAATTAACGCACAAAAAACTAAAGAACACGCTGAAAACAAGCATGTGTGCGTGCGTGCATTAAAGCCGGTTTAAACGGCATGTAGCGAGGACAAATTATCTGGCGTACCCAAATAAAGTACACAACTTTTCTCAGTTGTGACTGGAGCCAAAATGCCACCTTCACAGTCTCATATTGCTCCCTTTCATGTGTTGATCAGTAATCTTTGATCGAATAAATTAAATGCTTTGTATTGTTTTCTAATAAATATATAATTAAATAGTAAAGAAAAAAAAAAAAAAAAACTAATTTATTCACATACAATGAGACTCTAGCAGCGGTACACATATGTTAATAGCACTAATACTAAGTGCTCCTCGATTTATCCATACTTGTTAGTTAAGAAAAAAATATGTGAAAAGACAGTCTAAATTATAGCAAAGTTGTAAAGGGTCTTACAAAGTCTTTAAAATAGCAAAATAAATAAATAAATAAAAACGTATTTTATATTTCTAAGTCTGGTTTTAATAAATTATTAAGATATTTTTAAGAAAAAGATACAATCAAATTAGAAATATGTCTGTCTTAAGAATATATTCTTGTTGAATGGTTTAAAATAAACCATTTTAATTTTCTTACATATTTTTCTCTTGCATCCTATCTATATTTAGTTATGCATTTTTTTCTCCTTTCTATCTCATATATGCACTCAATTAATGCGACCGTAGATGGTTGAGAAAATATCTCAGCATCCTATTCTAAATTTGATGTATTCAATGAATGAGTGCGCAGTTGAACTAATTCAACCGTAGGAGAGTGAATAAAAAATATACCATTGTCTTTATAACTACCATTGTCTTTGAGAAATAAAGAGAAGAAAAGAAACGAAAATCAGGGGAACGGAAAGTGAGTGGAGCCTGGTCCTCACTTTTCTTCAAAAAGAAAAGCGTACGGATAGGATGAAACCACACTGAAGATATACGAATAGTGTTTCGCCAACTTCAATCCACAAGATTTACCTTTTCTGAACCACACACAAAATTCTCACCGACAACCACGGCGTTGCATGTACATAGATACATGCATTATAGCCTTATAGCCAAGAATTTATCCTACGAAATAATAAAACCTTAAATAGTAAAAATACCTTAATATACTTTTTTTTCTTCATGTTATACACTCCTCACACTGCCACTTTCACCGCAAAAATAGGAAAAAGAAAAAAAAAAAGAATGACTTAAATTTTGATATCTTTCGCTTTCCTAACCTAGGAAAAGGGTGTAAGCTAGAAGATTAAAGAAACCATTTTTTTGAAAGTCGAAATTTTGTTAAACACTAATATTTTTCACATCCTATCACGTTAAATCACTTATAAAATCTATCTCTTCTAAGTGTTGTAGCATTTTGGGTCTCTATTTATAATTTTAAAAACATAGCATTTAGTGCACATCTATTATTTTGACTTCTTTGACCAGTGTGGGGTACTGATTTACGGGATTTCTTTTCTATCACAAATGGTTGTGAAACTCATTATTTTCCATCTTTTCTTGTGATGCTTCTTTTCCTACGGCATATGATTGATACCGTTATTCAAAAGAGTGGGAAAGAAAATACCTGAAAGCGTTAAAGCAGAAGAAAATGAGGAAACGGAAACGGAAACGGGAACATACCACATTGGCGTCTTTGGCAAGCCTGGAACAGATGGCGCCACTGGAGTTTTCATCCAAATCAAACCATTCAACCTCGAAAGTGAGGATTTTGGAAAGCACGGTCTCCCTGACCCGTTTGGTCAAGTATTCCCCCATGTAAGCGAAGCAATAATGCTGCCCAATATTAGCAAGCAAAGACACCAGAAAAAGGCCCAGAAACGCGAACGAGTACACCCTGGTCTTCCTCATTATCTCCTCGTGATCCGCGTGAAAATACAGAAGTATCGTCGACCCCATCGTGAATGCGTACACTGGCTGAACGGCACCGAACACCATCGCGTTTAAGCACCCCAAAACAACATGCTTCCACTCGGGGACGCTCAGCGACACTAGTCTGTGAAACGACGGCGCACCAACCTTCTTCCCTTCGCCCACGTCACCACCACTCACACTAGTTGAGCCCACCATTTTCGCGTTTGCCGTCGCGCTGGTTGATGTCGCGCAGGGGACAATAGCGGGAGGAACGGTTTCTGCGCTTTCGGCTACTTCCGCTTTGTCCGTTTGTTGCTGGAGGCGGACCGCGGAGGCGTAAGCGCCGGTCTCGTTTTGGATGAGCTCGTCGTGCGAGCCCATCTCCACGACCTTTCCGGCCCTGACGACGGCGATGAGGTCTGCGTTTTGGATGGTGGATAAACGGTGGGCGATGATGATGGCGGTGCAACCCGCCGCGGCGTTGTCCAATGCTTGTTGGACTAGTCGCTCCGATTCTGTGTCTAGCGCGCTTGTTGCTTCGTCCAGAAGGAGAATTCGCGGTTTCTTGATTATTGCCCTCGCAATTGCTATCCTCTGTTTTTGTCCCCCTGACATCTGAATCCCCCTCTCTCCCACCTGCGAGTGAAATCAAAACCATTGTTAACTTCCTCTGGTTTTTCATTCATTTTATCTTTCGTTTTATTGAACATCATACAAATTTTTACTTGATGTGCATATCTTTCATGTGAATAATCAAAATCACAATTACCTAAAAGTGAAATCAATTTTTTTATAAATTAATGTCAACTACAAATTTTCTTAAATAATTTTTCTAAGAAAAATTTTAACTGTATCTTCTCAGATTATTTCTCGCTGTGTATAAACAAAAAAGCGCGTTAAGTACTGAAGAGACCGTAAAATATTAGAAGAACTTTGATTTGAAGCCATAAAAAAAAATTATAATATATAGAAAATGATATTTAACAACCCAATTTAAATATTTTATTCTCTAACGTACTTTATCAGGTGCATTCCTTCTAATTTATCAAAACTAAAATGATAGAAAAACAAGAGACACATCAAATAGATACATGATATATTGACACCCATAAAAAAAACATTTCCCAATGACACCCATCAAATAAACATTTCCCAATGCAGCTTAATTTATTAATATAATAAGTATAGAAGGATTTAATTTAAATTATTAATATATTATTAAAGGATTTAATTTAAATTATTAATATATTATTAAAGGTAAATTAGATGTTTGATAAAATGAGGGTGTTAAAATAGTTGAAAATGATACGTGGATGCAACATGTCAATTTAAATTTGAAAAAAAAAAGAGTAAATTTGGTGCATGATATAATAGAAGAGAAAGAGTAATAAATTTTAGAAGGATGGGTTAATAGGCTTGAGCATTTCTTACGTCAAGGCATATGATAAAAATATAGTCGAAAGAGGAGGGTGGGATGAATCTGTGGCTATAAAAATTGGAACCACGTAAACTCATTGTATACATGGGATTATTATAGTTGACGTAAGAAGGAGTTGATACGTGTGTAGTAGTAGTAGTAGAGTAGATATGAAGAGTTTGTGACCTGTGTTTGGTAACCGTGAGGAAGAAGCGAGATGAAATTATGAGCATGAGCAGCTTTTGCAGCCTCGACCATTTGGTCCTCCGTGGCATCCTCTTTGCCGAAAAGTATGTTCTCTTTAATGCTTGTCGCGAACAGAGCAGGCTCCTGGCTAACCAACCCCATCTGAGACCGCATCCACTTTACCTGCAGCTTCTGAATGGCCACCCCATCCAAGCGCACTTCTCCCCCAACTGGGTCATAGAACCTCTGCACCAACGCTATCACCGTCGATTTCCCCGACCCACTCTCCCCAACCAATGCCACTCTCTTCCCTGCAGGAATCCTCAAACTCAAACCATTCAAGACTCCACTCTCTGGCCTCGAAGGGTACGAAAATTCCACCCGGTCAAATTCCACTTCCCCGTAAACTCTCTCCAGAATCTCCCCTTCCTTGCTCTCAGAATCAATCCTCGGAACCCTCTCTACCACCTCCTTTATACGCTCCGCCGCCGCACCCGCTTCTGAAAAGTATTTCACGTTCGATAAACCCGCTCCCAATCCCCTTTTTCCCAAACACAAATTCAATTAACCTTAATTTAAACAAATTACTACATAATAGTAATAATAGTAATAATAATAATAATAATAATAATAATAATAATAATAATAATAATAATAATAGCATCATGATGATGATATGATGATAATTATTACTTACAATCCACCCACAGCGATTGATGCTCCAACTGCGAAAACTGTTCCTCCTTTGACACCATGATATATAACGAGTCTGCTGCCGTAATAGCACATGAAAGACCAAATGGCGAAAACGACGCCGTTGCTTCCAATGGCTAAGCCTTTGGCCCAACCTTGCTTCAGACCCAACTTAACCGTCCCTTGAAGCGCGTTTGAGAAAGCGTTCATGGTCTTGCTTTCCCCAACGAACGAATAAACAGTTCTGATGGATGAAATTGCTTGTTCCACCACTGTTCCTGCTTGGTTATACTCTTCTCTGATCTTGCTAGACAACCCCATCAAAGTCTTGCCGTAAATTAAACCCGGGATCACCAGAAGAACCACGAAAGGAAACCCCACAATGGCCAGCCTCCACAACATTGCAAACGCGGCTATGTAGCTCCCAACGAACAATGAAATGTTCATCAGGAAATTCGGAACCTATAACGCACGTGATTCGTTGTAAGCAAAATTACGAGCTTTCACTAAGTTTTTTTTAAGTAACTGTCATGTAACATAACAGCATACCTTTTCGCTGAGAACATCTTGGATTACGAGGCTGTCGCTGGAGACGCTGGTGATAATCTCTGACGTGCTTGTGACGTGCAAATCGAAGTACGCGATGTCTTGTCTAAGCACTGCTTTCAGATACCTGCATCTCATTCTTGCTGCTTGTCTTTCGCTTGTTCTTGTCCAACAATAACCCTCTGAAAAAAAATTGCAATATATGATAATAATTAAAAAAAAAAAAAAAAAAAAAAAAGAAGAAAGGAGGATGCAACAATATCGTGACTTTAATTTGCGTGGCGTAAATGGAAAGAGAAAAAGCAAAAGCAAAATCATTGCGAAACCGAAACTCACCCAGGAAGCAAACGGCAAAAGAGGCACCAGCTAAATACAACCACGCCACTGCATTCTGCATCACCAATAAAGCAAAAACAGTTAGCAAGCTTCTCTTTCATGTTATATTTCTCCATGTGAGTTGTGTAGAGAAATTATTATTTGACAGTTGCAGAGTGTCACGTGTTCATGGTTTCAATTAATTTTACATGACACTCAACTAGGTGTCATGCTCAGATTAACTGAGATCATGGTGATTAGAGAGCATACAGAAATTCTTGTGTGTACGGGGAGAGATGGAATTGAACCTTATTGATGTTATGAATGAAGGTGTTGCCATCCATGTTGGATGAACTCCCAATGTTATTCATCATGCGGCTACTGATAAACAACACTAGAGGGGTGGCTAAGCCTTCCCCAACAGCCCCAATGGTACCTAAAATCATAAGAAACAAATCTTTGCCATCGGCATGCATGAAAATGGAGCCAAAACCATGAGAACCGTTTTTCTTCTTCTTTTTTCTCTCCTGGCTAACCATAGCTACTACACTTTTCTGATCTCTACCCATTTTTGGACACACTACTCTTTTTTGTTGAGAAACAAACAACAGTGAGATTCGGAGACCCACTTCTGAAGCTAATGGAGCATGGCTTCACTGCCCTCTTGACTTGCTTCCAAAACCAGCTTTCTTAACATGGGCTTGAGCTATGTTGTTGCGACATTCTGGTGAATTTATAGGAATCAGTGTGGGTTAAAGTGTGTGGGGCAAAACTTATAGGGACCAGAATAGCTAGGGTCAGGGTTGGGGAATTCCTAATAGCATGTGGAGAGGTTTATTGTGTTGTTGAGGATGGAGGAACATGTGATGTGAGGAGGAGAATTTGCTCCTGTTTGACTTTATAATTATCACACTGCTAAAGCATCGGGACTTTTCTCATAGCCATGTATATATATATATATAATTCTACTTTTATAAAAGCATTTTTCTCATCTTATACCACTTTCAAAACTATTTCCAGAGATATGCCACTTTTACTGCTTTTGCTGACACGATTCTTTCTTTTTTAATAAAGCATCGGTGAATTTTGGACCCTTTCTTTTTTATATTGAATGCGTTATTTTAATTTATGTTTCATAACAGTTGATCTGACATTTTGTTATCAAAAGAATCCTTTAAGACTAAGCTTGGGAACAACCCGTGTGGGGTTGCCCACAAAACCTGCCATTATAAAGTTTTTATATTTCTCTAAACAGTCATAAATATTAGTTTTCTTCTTTTTTTTCCTGCATTCTAACTGAATAAAATTATTATATAAAAATAATTTATATGGAAGCAATTAATATTTGTATTTCATAAAGGTGGAAACTCTTCTAGAAAACTAAATAATATATTAAAAGTATTAAATTTTTAAACGTTACAAGAAAATTTATTTTTCTCTTAGATCATGACTTCCATATGTGAATGACATTATCCAATAAATAAATTTATATATTATTTAGGGAATCTTACGTTATTATTAGTTTAAACTAAAACAATTAATAAATTTTAATTGTATTATATATGCCTAAATACTAATTTTCATTTTTAATTAATGTTAACAATAATTTTCACCATAACGGCCAAATATCAATTAAACTATCCAAAAATAAATTTATTTATTATTTAGGGAATCTTAAGTTATTATTAGCTTAAACTAAAATAATTAATAAATCTCAATTATATATATATATATATATATATATATATATATATATATATATATATGTATAAAAGTACCTCTAGATTTATCTTTTAGTTAATGTTAATAATTATTTTGACCATTACTTCGAAATTTGAATGTATTATCCAATAAATAAGAAATTAAAAGTTATTATTAACTTAAACTATTATAATTAATAAATTTCTTACATTTATACATACGTGCCTAAATACCCAAAATTTCATGTTTTTAATTAATGTTAATAGTTATTTTGACCATGACTTCGAAATTTCAATGACATTATTCAATAAATAAATTTATTTATTATTTAAGTTTTTATTAACTTAAACTAAAATAATTAATAAATTTGAATTTTATATATATATTCGCGCGTGCCTTATCTAAATGTACAAAGTTCCATCATTTAATTAATGCCAATAACTATTTTGACCATGACTTTGAAATTTAAATGACTTTATTCAATAAAATCGTTATTAATTTATTATATTTTAACAATAATTATAACAACTACCGTTCAATATTGTTAAAACTTTTTTAATTATTCTAAAAGAAATTATTTGTAATAATAATTAAACTCAAATAACTTTAATAAATTTATATTATAAATATAAAAATATTTAATTAATGTTAATAATTATTTTGATCATATCCTTAAAACGTCAATAACATTATCCAATAAATAAATTTATTTATTATTTAAGAAATCTTAAGTTACTACTAACTTAAACTAAAATAATTAATATATTTCAATTAAATTATATAATAAATATCAAAAGTTTCAATTTATGTTATTATTAACCACAAAAGTAATTCATAAATTATAATTATATATATATATATATATATATATATATATATATATGGAATCTTAAGTTATTATTGACTTGAACTAAAATAATTAATATATATGTACCCAAAGTTTCATATTTTAATTAATGTTAATAATTATTTTGACCATGACTTCGAAATATGAATGAACAATGGAATAAATAAATATATTTAATATTTAGAGAATCTTAAGTTATTATTAACTTAACCTAAAGTAATTAATAAATTTCAATTATATTATATATTATATATATATATATGTATATATATATATATAAATACTCAACATTTTATTTTTTTAATTAATTTTAATCACTTTTAGACCATGAATTCCAAATGTCTGACACTAAATTTATCTATTATATACGAAATTTTTAAGTTATTATTAGCTTAAACTAATATAATTAATAAATTTGAATTATATATATATATATATACGTGTCTCATCAATAAATATAAAAACTTCCATTTTTTAATGAATATTAATAATTATTTTGACCATGACTTTGAAATTTTAATGACTTTAATTCAAAAATAAAATTTATTATTTAAGCAATTTTAATTTATTTTAAATTTATTGCAACGGAATAAAATAAAGTTTTGATGTACTACAATTTAAATCGTTATTAATTTTAAATAAGAATTATAACAATCACGACTCAAAATTATTAATTTTTGTAATTATTATAAAATAAGTTATTTGTAATAATAAATAAATTTAAATAATTTTAATAAATTTCTATTATATATATATATATATATATATATATATAACAAAGTTGATTTTATATTAATGTTAATAATTATTTTGATCATGTCTTTAAAATTTCATAGACATTATTCAATAAATAAATTTATTTATTATTTAGGAAATTATAACTTACTACTAACTTAAACTAAAAATTATTAAATTTTAATTATATATATATATATATATATATATATATATATATATATATATATATATGGGTTAAGTATGTTTTTAGTCTCTGTATTTTCATGTGAAATTGAAAATAGTCTATCTGTCAAAGTTCACGTAAAAATGATTTCTATACTCTTGAAATGATTGGAATAAGTCTATATTTTAAACGGCGTTAAATATATGATAACATGACATATTTATTATTTGACACGTGTAATTATTAAAAAAAAAAAGCAAAACTCTTCTTTACAAAAAAATAGAAATTATTCAATAGAGATTATTATTAAAAAAAACAAAATTAAGAAGTAGAAGTTTTTCTTTTCTCTTCACGCACTAAAGCTCTTCACACAACTACTTTTTATTCTCTCTTATTTTCTCGTCACAGACTACTTTTTGTTCTCTCTTCTTTTCTCGTCACACCAAATATCTTTTCTTTTTTTCCCTTTCTTTATAAAGGTTATATGAAGTTAAAGTGACTTTGAAGTTCGAGAGTTTCATCGATTCATTGTGGTTTGACTGGCGAGTGCGACGGTGGTGCACAACGACGAGTGTGCGACGATAGTATACCATAAGCTAGGGTTTTCATTTCCAAAAAGTAAGGTAGAGAAGTTTAAATGACTTATAAATGACAGATAAGTTTAAATTTCTTTTTTTAATGACTTTTAAATGTTATAAACGCGGATTTAAATGATTTTTAAAAGTTTGACAACTTTTAATTTTATTTAATTTTATTTTTTTAAATAATTACATGTGTCAAATAATAAATGATTATGCAAACTATGACAAATGGACTATTTTCAATTTCACATTAAAATATAGGGAGTAAAAACATACTTAACCACATATATATATATATATATATATATATATATATATATATATATATATATATATATATATATATATATATATATATATATATATATATATATATATATATATATATATACGCAAAGTTTCATATATTTAATATTTAGAGAGTATTAAGTTATTATTAACTTAAATTAAAGTAATTAAAATATTTTAATTATATTATATTTTATATATATATATATATTAAAATTTTAATTCAAGTTAATAATAAATTAAGATTCCTTATATATATTAAAATTTTAATTCAAGTTAATAATAAATTAGGATTCCTTAAATATATATATATATATATATATATATATATATATATATATATATATATATATATATATATATATATCCAAAGTTTCATATTTTAATTAATGTTAATAATTATTTTGAGTATGACTTCGAAACATGAATGAACTACCCAATAAATAAATATATTTAATATTTTGAGAATTTTAATTTATTATTAAATTAAATTAAATTATTAATAAGTTTCAATTATATTATATTATATTATATTTTATATATTATTAGCTTTAAATAAAATAATTAATAAATTATATATATATATATATATATATATATATATATATATATATATATATACCCAAAGTTTCATATTTTAATTAATGTTAATAATTATTTTGATCATGACTTTGAAATTTGAATTATTATCCAATAAATAAATATATTTAATATTTAGAGAATCTTAAGTTATTGTTAACTTAAACTAAAATAATTAATAAATTTCAATTATAGTATATTATATTATGTTATATTATATATTATTTATTTATATATATATATATATATATATATATATATACACACACCTAGATACTTTAAAAAACTAATTAATATTAATCACTTTTAGACCATGAACTCCAAATGTCTGAAAATAAAATTATTTATTATATATGGAATCTTAAGTTATTATTAACTTAAACTATAGTAATTAATAAATTTCAATTGTATTATATATATATATATATTATGTATTTTTTCTATAATATAGATGAAAAGTTAAAAATTTTCCTCAATAGATTAAATGCTAATAAATTTATTCAGTTAGACCCAATTTTCTTCTTTAGAGAATTCGGCTTATCGGGATTATCAATTGTGCCACCATTTTTTCTTTCTGGTAAAATTCGGTTTCCTGTAAGTCAAATTTATGAGTATTTTTGTTAACAACGTTTAAACAAAATAAGACTAAAATATTAATTTTTAAAAGCTATT